ATTCTCGAACTATTCGATTTCGAATATTGCAGATTCGAATTTGAATCGAATCAAATCTATTGTGATTCAATTCGATTCAATTTGAATTCGAACTATTCGCACAATTCTATTGAATATATTAACAAAGGTTTGACCTGATATTATTTGCTACTTTTTTTCATATACCATCTATATATATTTTAGAATGGTATCCTTAAATTTGTTTTGTTAAACGTTTTATATCAATATTTAGATCAACAAATATGAATGAAATCAATATAAGTAATCAATATAAGTAATCAATATAAATAAGACACAGGATAATAGTGTATTTTAAATAAAATATATATTAATTAATAGATACAATTTAAAACGCAAACGTTTGGCTCTTGTTTGAGTCATTCTTATTTAGTATAAAAAGCAATACAGAAAAAACCGGACAGAAATAGACGCAGCATGTATACAATTCAAGACGTAAATTCTTTTTTGTAGTAATGTTTAAATACAAATAATACACGTTTCAGGACATGTAACTTTACCGAAAAACATTAACGTTATCCTAGCATTTATGCGGATGTTTCAAAATGAAAAGTACTGGTACCGAATCCATTGAAGTTTGAGCCAGATAAATTTCTACCAGAAAAAATAAAAGATTGTCATTTGTATTATTATATCCTTTTCAGTGACGGACCAAGAAATTGTTTAGGTAAGCATGAATAAATTACAAAATATTGCAATCAAATTTACTTATAACTAAACTTGCAGGTTCAAAATACGCGATGATTTCTATAAAAGTTATCTTAGCTACTTTGACACGGACATTTGTATTTAAAATAGAAATAAAAGTGTTAAGATAAATAAAATAAAATTAAGGGCAGATGTATTATTATCTTTTGTTTGAGCCTTTAAAAATCAGAATTGAAAAACGGGAACTTTAATAAAGTATAATGCGAAAATATGTTAAATCAAAGAAAATATCCTTTGAATAAAATTTCTGCGCACTTTTGTATTGCAACGATTTATATTATTAAATATATATTTGATTTTTGAATTAAATAATTTTATTGTGATAAGTTATAATGACGTTAATTGCTTGCCACGTTTAGTGCAGGCAGAGAGCAGAGATTGTACTTTCTGTGGCGTAGCCTTTTGATAGAACGCCTGAAAAAATTTATAACTCTTTGTAGCATTATACCAGATAAAATAAAGTAATAAAATATTTTAAGTTAACTTATTTAAGATGTCTCTTTAATGAAATACACACATTTTACATACCATATTGTATCTGCGACTTTGAGACCACAATGAGAGCACATCTTTTTTACGTATAATGCAGTCAGGGTAATAATCTCCAATTGTCCAAAGAATGATAACTATATATATTCGGAAAATTTCAACGTGAATACGTACAAAAAATATTCTACGTATAGGTTTTTTCTAATCATAAGTGGTACAATTATATATATCGATATGCAAAAATGACATATAATATAGTGTATAACAACACTGCGTAGTATATTATGTAACAAAATATTGCGTAGCATCATAGTAAGCAACAAAAATAAATTTTAAGACCATATGCCAGCCAATTTGTTAATAAATCATATATATAGTTAACATAAAAGTTCTACAATCTTTTCAATTTTTTATTTATCGAAATCTCGCTTTTCAATCTTCCACTAATATTGAAAACAATTAAAATTTGTTTTTAAACAATGCAAATACATTGACTACTACATAAGCATTAATTGCTAATTGTGAGTGGGGAAGGCATAATAACAAGTTGGCGATGGCTGCATTCAGACGTTGATATAGAACCATCTTACTATTTTGACGTTATTATTACTTATTATTGCAGTATGACGTTTGTTGGTGCTGTATTAATTGCTGTGGCATGTGTTG